TCATATATTTGTGTTGTTTTTCAATTTATTTATTGATTTCTATTGTTTGTTTTCATTATTGAAAGATATAACACCAGTTCAACTATTTGTAATAAAGCAGTTCTTTCTATTTATAAGTTATTTTTTTAATATATTTCTGTGCATTAGAAAAATCCATTAGATTTTGTATATAACTGATATTAAGGACTTGAAAAGTACTCCTTTAATATAAAGTTTGAGTTCTGATGATGTTTCTAAGAACATTTGTTGTTTAATTATTTGTATGTAATTATTTTTCATTATTAAGTGAATATATTTTTTGCATATATTGATTTTGCTTGTACAATAAAATCTTGTGATATTGTATCACAAAAAAGATATAATAGTTATCTTTTATTTGATTGTATCAAGAACAAAGGTTATCTATATAAAGTATAGGTTTTCTTGTATACAATTTAATTTTAATAAGTAGTTTATAGTTCCATAAGTTGATAAAAAACTTTTTAATTTATTGATCTTCTATTAATGTATTATTATTATTTATTTTAGAGAGATATAGGTTATTAAAGTTGCTATCCAATTTATATATTTGTATTGCTTATAAAATCTATAAGGGTCCTATTTAAAACTCTTCATTGTACTAATATTTTGGTTTGTAAAAGTTGTTGATATTTTTTTTTTTTAAAGGCTAGCTCATTCCTGCACCAGTTCTGAAGCTTTATTAAAGTCAAAATAAGTCCTAGAAACAACCAGGATGAGTAATTACCCGTACTGTCTAAGGATTTACAGATCAATTAATAGTACAAAGGGGCATCTATTTGCATCTCACCCAACCAGGATTGGATAACTATGTGACCGTCTAGTGTGGGACTTTTTCTTAATTCTAACTCAGCTAAGGATTTGGGGATTCTTTTATACTTACAATCTAATGAAGTGATTCCACCTATTACCTCGAATGTTCAAAAATGGCACTTCCTAGGACCGTAGTCCACCGGACGACTTTGTTGCTATCCCCTTATGGGGGAGCTAACGTATCAGAAATTTGCCTAAGATGCCCAGCATCACCGATTTTGGGGGTCTCTTATACAGAATCCTATTGGCTTCGTTAGTGCTTTAAATTTTTCTGGGGACTTGTTGTGTTTCTTGTGCTGTCAGGTTACTTGATTGAAGTACCAGTCTCGTGTGAAGGACATGCGATCTCTCGATTGGTTGTCTTGAAAATCGGAACCTGTTCTGCTTATTATGGGCCTGTTATAGACAGCTCTATGGATGATCGGGTTCTTTTTTTTCCCCATTTGAGGAGCGATTCTGTTTGTGTTTCTGGAACCTTGTACCACCTATTTTGGTTATATTCATGGAACCTTGTGTGTGTCTTATTCTATTATGGCTGTGGTAAGTGGGTAGGGTCCTTCTTCACTTTTTTCCTATTCGGTACCTGAGATCGGTTTGTGTTTTTGGAGGCCTTGTATTACTCATACTAGCCTTCCATTGAACCTTGTGTTGATTTGTCATTCTTACTGTAGACATAATGAGCGTACGGGTTCTCCTTATTGCCTTGTAGAGCACATGATTATTATTATGGGGGGATGAGATCTTCGTACTACCTTGTGGCTGAAATTTCACTTTGTCCTCATGTGGTATTGAACTCTGGACCTTGTGATTGCGACCTGGGAGCACTACCACTGTGCTATCGACCCACAGGTCGTAAAAGTTTTTGATATATTGTTTTGATCAAAATATTTACTACATTATTGTTTCATATTAAGATTATAAAGTATTAAATATTGATATTCAAATTATAAATTTTGAGAACTATGCCATTGTTGAAGGGATCAATTTTGATTAAATAATCTATTATTTTATTGTATTTTATTCCTGTATATATTGAAACTTTGTGCAAGTAAATATTAATGTTATTGATTCTACATATGTCTTGAATGCTTAATAGTAATTTATAGTTTTTGTATTTATGAATCACTTGATCAGATTTTTGTTTAAGAGATTAATTGATATATGATATTATACTTGATTATTAGTGCAAAGGTTTATAGTAAATTGAAAAGATATTATTATTAATATTATATAAATTGTTATAATCTCTACTCTGGTAAATAATAGGTATTTGTTTATTTGGGCTTGAAATTGATTTATTTGTTTTGTAGATGTAATAATAATTTATCATATATATATATATAGTTTATTATGCTAATCTGATTTGAATCTATTTGTATAGATCTAAAAGGAGCTATCAGTTATAGGAATGACAATATGTATTAGTTTGTTTATTATGCTTGATTCTTCATTAAAATATTATTAAATTTGATTTTGTATAATATCATTATTTTGTATAATTATATGAAAACTATATATTAATTTTTTTAAAAATAAGATCGATAGATAATTGAGTATTACTTGTATTGAGTCAAAAGACATTTGTATTCTTATAATAGGTATTTGTAAAAAATTTTCAGAATGTAAAGCAGATGTGATGCTAAAGTTTGTTGAAATTATAATTGTATTTTGTAATCATATTTTTTATTTATATCAGTATATATAAGTTTCTTAATTACAATTATACAAGTTAACCTTAAGTTACATATTATAAATAAGTTCTTATACATATTTAATAAATCTATTTATATAAGTAATTATATTTATTTTATTATATATATAATTACTATCAATTCTTCTATATTGGAAAGATATGTAATTTCTTCTTAATTATTCCTAGATTAATTTTATTAAGAGTAGTTTAATTATCAGGTCATCAAAATTTTTTTATCTTAAACTCCAAATTTTTGATTCTTTGAAGTGTTCACAGTTTTTTTCTTTCACTAAGACCTCCTAATAGTTAAATATATAAAACTTCAACATAGTCCCATACTTGAATTTCTAATAAAAATCATAATGATCAACTTAGAAGAACCTTTTTTCACCTTTTAGTTAAAGTGCTAACTTGTTTATTATCTGTCTTTCTTTTTTTTTTTAACCTGGCAAAGTCTTGCCATTGAGTTTTTATTTATTCATTAATATAAACTTATGTTGTAAATTTAATTGTGAGTCTATATATTTATGAAATGAAAAAATACTATGACTCAGTATTTTAAAGTAGAAACCTTGTGACTTACTGCAGTCCACCTTGGTGGGTGCTAGCATGTCAAGACTCCATTAGTACTAATATTTATAGAGAAAAAGAAACATGGAAAGTAATTATTTTTCAGTATATATTCGATGGTGATATTTGATAATTTTATATATAGTTCTTTAAACTTGTTCTTTAGGTATTTTTCAAGATTTATCTAGGTCTGCTCTGGTGTAGCATCTGTTTCAAGGCTCTTTATGGCTTAAGTAGTTGGTGAGTCTGGGCTTGATGTTATTGTATATTGATTATATTTTTTACCTTTGATATGTTTCCCATATCACTTGAGCTTTTTGTTTATATTTTGACTTTTTTTTTACTCAATTGTGATATTGCACCCGAGTTTTCATGTTTCTCGCTTCCTTTGTTAAAACTTGTAAGTGACTATTCTGATTGTTTCCAAGGCTTTTTAGTTATGGTTTCTGTCACTTGAACCATGTCATATGTTATGACTTCTCTGACTATATCCTTCCATTCGTTCCTATGTTATGTTTTTATAGATTCTTTGTGTTCTTTTTCATTTATTTTGAATTGATTTTTTTTGTTTTCCATCCACTCTCACTATGCTTTCCTTTATTAAGACCTGAATATATTTTTCCTGGAGTCTTGTTTGCATTGTATCACATTGGAATATATGATTATTGTTTTCTTTATATTGTTTACATACTTTGTACTAGTTGTCGATATAGATGTCTGGGTATCTTACATTTGATTTGTTCATAGTTAACAATTTCACTATCCATGTCTTGTTCTAAACAAATAGTCTGTATGGTCTTCTATATTTGTCAGGATTGATATACTATAATACCTGTTGACATTATGTTTATTATTTGTTTTTTAGTAGTATACTATCAATTTTAATATCTACTTTTCTTGCTATCAAAAATAACAATACCATTGCATCAAGAATAATCCTACCCAATTTTAGATATTCAATTAAATTCCAATTTTATATAGACTGATCTAAAGAATATAAAATTTTTAAAATTATAATTTTGAATTATTACTTTTAGGAATATAATTTTGAACTCTAAAAATTTTTAGTTTGCTTTCAAAATAATTACTCAAATATAAAACTTCTAATAAACATTGCTTTAAAAGTAGTAATAAAATTGTTTGATAAAAAAAGAAGTTATTATTAAAACTTAATTTAATTAAAATAATAAAGTAAGAAATCTTAGTTTAAATAATTATAACTTTTTTATTAATTGAAAATTTTTTGCATATTAATTTTATAGAATTTAAAATATGGAAATCAAAATTAAAATAATAAAATTTTCAAATAATCAAGATAAGAAAAAATAATTCAATAAAAATATTTTTTATTAAAAAGAGATCTTGAGAAGCAGATCTAACTTTACTCTAAATTATGACAAATTAGTTAGATTGATTTATTACAAAAAAAAAATTATCTTTTATAGTTGAAAAAATAAATATCGTACATACGGCTCAGCTGCGGCTAAATTTCATTGGAACTCAAAAAGCCTTGTCTTAGCCATGAGATAATCTGTTTCCCGTGGCTTGTAAACTCTCATTTCATAAAGCTTTCCGATAAACAAAATGGTAGATATTCATGTTCGGGATGAAAGTTCTAGTGCCTATTTTTAATTTCATATCGTGACTAGTCTCTCATGAACTTTATTACATTTTTATATTCAGGGCTTTACACAATTAGAAAAAGATTCGGGTCTTACAGTTCTCAATTCTTATTTGGAGGACAAGTCGTACATAGAAGGGTAATATCATATGCTTTATAGTCTAGTTTTATTTATGATGATAACGTATTGGTCCGTGTTTCTGAATGGAATTAAGAACTCCACTCGTGTCGAAAATAAATACATTTCTTCTGAAATATAATCGAAAAAAATTTTTTTTAAGAATTATGACATACATTTCGAAGCTATCTAAATCCAGTATGATCTCTTCACTTCTCTTTACACATAATTAGTTATGAGCCAACCCAGGCCGATGTGTCCGTATTTAAAGCCCTGAATAATAAAGCCCCCGTACATGAGAAATTTCCGCACGCTGCCCGATGGTATCATCACATTGCCTCTTACTCCGATGAGTTTTCGGCTCTCACTGGTGATACAAGTCGCGATGCATCTCATTTTGGCCCTGATGTGCCTGCTGCAAACGAAGACGACGATGTTGATTTGTTCGGCTCTGATGATGATGAAGTGGACGAAGAAGCTGAGCGACTAAAAGCCGAACGCCTAGCGGCATATCAACAGAAGAAAGCAGCCAAACCGAAAGTCATTGCTAAAAGTATGGTCACATTAGATGTCAAACCTTGGGATGACACCACAGACTTGGCCGAAATGGAGAAATCTGTGAAATGTATTGAAATGGATGGTCTCGTCTGGGGCTCTTCAAAATTGGTCCCCGTTGGTTACGGCATCCGAAAATTGCAAATTGTATGTGTAGTTGAGGATGACAAAGTTGGAGTCGGTAAGTTAGTTTGTTAATAGAGTCATTGTGGTTGTAATGGTCGTTGAATCTCTCTTAAGTTACAATTTATCATTGTTGTACAGATGATTTAGAAGAAAGAATTACTTCATTTGAGGACTACGTCCAAAGTGTAGATGTTGTGTCATTCAACAAATTGTAATCAATAACGAAAAATAATAGATATTCTTAATAATGGGTTTATTCCTCATATTTGTTAATAAAGTTCATTAAACAAATATTTGAAGTCTCATTGTGGGCATACCAAACATAGTAATGATTATAAATCATTGATAAAAATTTTTTTACCTTTGAATATTTACAAATAATTTGCCAAGGTAAATTTTATTTAATGTCTAAGACTTCAAGCTATGGCCAAAAAAGACATCATCTTGAACAAGTGGGTAATCACTAATAATGCTATTTCGTTTCCTCATTCCTTTTATTGTTGTCGAATTTGTGGATCTATCGTTCACTAGCAAATGCTCCTGTTCATAGGTATCCGGGTCTTCCAAGTTAAACGAATTATCATCATTACATATGTTATTATTTATTCCTTCTATGCCGTCTTCTGATCTCGAAGTTTCCTCAACGATGTTGTTATTATTTTTATAAGTTTCCCACAAACTTGGTATCCTAATTTTTTTCGAGTTTGGACATACGAATTTCTCACAAAACATGTTTCTCAACTTGGATGTGATCATGCGCGTAATTTTGGGTACACCTTCAAGTTTAGATCTCGATCCGATCAAAGATTTTATACCAAATTCCAGAACGAAATCTGGTAGCGCTGAAGCGGAAATGAAAGTGCAATCAGAATTCGTCTCGATTTCCAAGGCTATCTGGAATTAAGTAATTCATTAGTAGAATGCGCATGTTCAGCGTGAAAAGAGCATGATTATTTGAAAATTACCGTGGCCGAAAATTTTACCACTGATAACATTAATGAGATCGGTAAGACAGCTATGCACGGTTTAGGCCAATTAATAATGATTTGCGTATCGATACCAAGTGTGATTCGATCGCTAAATTCGCAATCAATCTCAACTCTCTAAAGTTAACATTCTTTATAAGTGCTACTCATTCATTCAACAGTCAACACTTTAAAGAACATACCATTTGGTCTATTGCCTCCGTTGACCGTATTCTAGCATTGCTGAAAATAGGATACTCTTCTCCAATATCAAGTTGAGTGACTTCAATTGTTCCCTTATTGTAATAAATTTTCAAATGTGAACCGATAATAGAAAATATATATTGTTGTTTTCGATGACAATACCTCAACTTACCACAAAGTCTGGTTTACCACCATCGTTCAATATTCGATCTACAAAGCGAACCAACCGATTATCAGCCTTGGCTTCTTCTCTATATTGATGTATAGCCTGCGCTAAAAGCACATTAAGCCAATCAGTCGATTCGGGAGGATGATATTTTGGATCATATAAAGTTTTTGACAGAATTGAAGCTGGTGATACATTAGTTGTTTGCGATTTCAGTGGTATAGGAAGAGGACGCTATAAAACATTACTAATTTATTTTTACATTCAGCAAAACTTATTATGTCCGACTATGGACAATAATGTAGAAAAAGGGATTTATATAAGGTATAATATCGAAATACTAACTTTTTGTTTCTCTTGGACCTCCTCTAGTAACATGAATTTGATAAAGGCAAGAATCAAAAACACGATCGTAAGTTGCCCAAGAAAAAACCCTTGCAAAAAAGACCAACTGCTGCCGGATAACCTTGAGACTACTTGATCGATATATTGCTGCAGTTCTGGTGAAATTGCTTGTTCTAAAGACATGGGTGGCTATTCTACGCAAATTAAGTGCCCGATGATCTATTATATACGTATGTTAATTTATTCAATCCGCTGAATTTCTAATAAACTAATAAAGTTTTATTATTTTTTATTGTTTTTCTAAAAACAACTTGAATAATAATTTCAAGAGTTATCTCTTGTTTACATGATTTTTGATAATAAAAAAAATCAAGAAGTATTTTTTTATCTATAATAAAAAAATTCTAAAAAAAAAAAAAAATCAATAATGTCTAAACCTTGAAAACTTTTCTTATAGTTATTAAAGGATTTTGACTATCTTAATTTTGAAGCAATAAATCCTTGCTAAGAATAATTTGTCAATATAAAATACTTATAAGTAAGTTTATACTATACATTTTTAATATACTGTATCATTAAAGTTAACTTTATAATGAATCTACTTATCTTAATTAATATAAACTTTAAATATAACTTTGAAATTAATTTGTTGTTTTATTAATAATTTTTTTTATTGAAAATAATGAAGCCCAATGTTATAGAAGTTATGGTCACAACCATGTACAGAGAGATCTATCCATATACATAATAATTACATATATATCAAAACTATCTATATAAATTTATTTTAGACAAGCTAAGATATCAATGCATCCATTTGTAGATGACCCCATCCATGTGACTTGTTACTGGAAGAAGCTCTACTACCCACTCCTATGTCTGTATTATTCTTCCATGTTCCTCATTTTTATAGGCCCTGGATTTGTAACATAAGATCTTTTCATATTTCATCCTATCAAATATTCTTTTTATAATACTTATTACAGTATACCTAGAATACTCACATGAAGTCTTATATATCATCTCATTCTACTGTTAATCCTTTTTACATAACTTATTACAACCTATCTATAAAGTAATCATGGAGTTTTGAACAAATATTAATTTGATAGAGACTCTTTTTTAACTAATATATCTAGGCTCTACTAGTTCCCTTATTTTATAGTTTTACGAATTTTCAATCTATTTGCAGGGATTTGATAGAACCTGTCTTGTGATGAAGTGACTTCAGCACTAAAACTGACTGAAGCATCTTGTAATCTTTGAATATTTCATAATCAAATAGAATTTTGATCAGAAATAACAATTATTAATATTATAAGATGGATAAGATTTTTTTATATTATTTAGGTTTTAGTGATACTGCCTTATAATGATATTGAACTTGGAAATAGTACTTGATAACTTAAGAGTATTATTATTGTGTTATTGATCCATATGTGCATTAATAATTTAAATAAAAATTCTTTTAATTATTATTATATAAATTATTTTCAAAATATTAATCAAAGTTATTTAATATTTTTATTAAAATTTTTATTGAATTTTTTTCTTTTAATTATCTTTTTTCTATTCTTTAAATAAAATCATATTTATTAAAATTTTTATCACCTTTTTTCACTGATTTTCTTTTTTTAAAAAAATAAAAAACCATAATCAGATAAATAATTCTACAATAATAATCTGCAAGTAATAAGTTAACAGTTAAAAGGGTTTTTATCTGAACTACTAATAGAGTGATAAATTATTTTTGAAGTTACACTTAGAGTTTTGATAAATTTTAAAATTTTGATAAATGAGTTAGGTAGAAATTTAGATTCAGTGACACATTTTTAATGTAAAGTATAAAAACATTTAATAAAGCATACATACCTAGCCTAACAGAGGACTTAAAAAAATAAAAATAAATAGACAAACAATAACTTATTTAGTAAATAGTAATATACAAAAAATATAACAACTAATATTAAAAAATAATATTAATTAGAATAAGTATAATTATAAAAAAAAAATTCTTTTCGCTGATTCACATTTTTCAAAAAAATTTTCTTTTTTGATAATTTTCTTGAAAAATTCACAAAAACCCTTCTATATAAGATCAAACCTCAAAGGATACAACCAAACACTTCCAAACAATAAAATCTACTTTACAACAATAGAAAAAGAGATTGCTTAACTTAAAAGACAAATATCCATAGATTATTTTTACTTTTAAAAAAGAGAAAAAGCAAAACCAAGTTGATTCACAATAGGCTTCTTGAGACCTAACCTCAATCTCACAAAGCTCTTAGCCATGTTAGTGCAAGTTAATACCTTTCTAGATACTAAAAAAAGTCTCAAAAGCAATAGATTATATTGATAAATCAGTACAATCTCAAGGCTAACTGAAACCTAGGAGGATGTCCAAGTCTCTTTGATCAAATAACTAAAAGATTACAATAACATAACAACTCCAAATCAACTAATTCACATCATACAAACATAACACATTAGTTTTCACCTACCTGACATATATCAAAGCAAGTTGATTAATTTATTAACAAAACAGTAGGATATAATAGATCAACAAACTAGAATGTATGTAATCAACCAGTATGTATTATCTAAAGCAAGATCAACAGTTGATCATAACCAATTACATGTTAATAAACAAATACTAGATGTATAAATACATAGAAGCCATAAGTCATATACTTTCTAATATAAATATAACAACTTATTGCCATATATATCAAACAGAAAATAATATATAACAATATTTATCTGATTACATGGTTAAAAAGACACTTATATAATAATAATACATATTAATTTTTTTGTGCCATGTGATAACATGTCAATGAAAAAACAAATAATAATCAGGATTACAAAAAGAAGGGAAAAAGAGCTATAGAAAATATTAGAAAAGATAGCTTCTCATCAAGATCCTCAACAAGTATTTTGAAAAACAAAAATGATATAGTATGAGCCAAGACAACAGCAACCATTCAATTCCACATCCCTGCTGAGTCAATATATATTTTTTCAATACTAGATAATATTATTGCCAATCTATTGAGAATAGATTCATTGGTACTAGCAAAAAAATATACAGTTGCTTCCAAAAGTTTGAGTCCACTTACTATGTTTTTATTATAAATTTCAACTTTAACAATTTTTAAATCC